CTGTGGCAGAAAAAAGGAACACTGAGTAAGTTCTGCTTTGTGTCACATGAGGTATGAGAGAATTAAACTTTTCTAACAAGAAAACAAAATCAGAAGAAAACAGTACACTGGAACCCCATTTCTCTTGGTATTTAGCAGTCAATAAGCCTGTGAAAAAGAAATGGCAGCTCAGTTTTACGCAATCTACTGAAAATACCACATTTATAAATTAAACACTTTTTAAAACCTGCTACTTTTCCATACTACATGCCCTATTTGCTTGGCTTTCAGTCTGTAAGAAGTCAGCTGCCTCAGACGGGAGAGCTGTTATGCCAACAGAGAGCAGCTCTTAACCGCCAAGATATGTGTCTCCCCAAACCTCCTGCAGCCCACCCATTTTACACTCGAGGCTGTACAACCTGAAAGGCAAATCAGCAATACTGGACCTCTCTGTGTCTCACACACTTTCCTATGAGCATATGCAGTTTCCAAAGCAAAGACTGAAGACACAAAGCTACAGGAAGGAAACTTGTCTACTATCTCCAGAAGAAAAATCCTGTCTCAGATCCCACTGGTAAAGTAGATGAGCAAGAAATTAGGGGGATATAGAAAAAAACCACAAGAAGATGACTGTTTCCGAGAGTGACTGCTTACCCAAGAAGTCATAAAGAGACTGACATTACTGTTACCAAGGTCTATGAAAGCAATCACTTTAACTTACCTGTAAACTGAATATAAAGTAGCCACTAACACTTTGTTCTGCAATCACATCCTCCATGGTGCGCAAGGTAGTGCCCAAGTATGAGTTCAGGAGCTGAGTAGGAAGAAGCCCAACTGAAGAAGCCATCAGGTAGTTGGGTAGTGACAAATCTGTAATCTGAGTAAAAGACAAAGTAAGAAATCGAGCACAGCTCCAACACAAACTATGTGCACAAACAACCAGACAGCTGCTCCCACAACCATCCGTGCAAAATAATGAAAGAATTTCTTACATTCCTTCACTGAAACTTTCCACTGTGTGTGAATCTAAGACAATACAATAAAACAGTATGTGGCTGGTTTTCATCTGGCCTTTTTAAAGTTACTAGGTTTTATTTCATTTCATCTTACATTATGCAACACCTCCTTGCAAAAGTCATTAACTAAGGATGCAATTACACTGTTCATTGAAGATGTTTATTTGTTCATGGTGAACTGCCCTACAATTTATGAGAATCTGCTCATGGGAAGAAATTGCTTTATCAAACGTGAAGGGCTAAAGCAAAAATCTATTTGCTTTGCTTTTCACACGTATGGCAACTAATAAAAGAGGTAATTGTTCAAAATGTCACTGTATTAAATATGACCTAGGTAAACAGAATGGCAGATACAATTTGCCTCTGCAAGGCCAGTTATATACACGTCAAGACACGCGTATCTATCAGTGATCTCTAGCAGCAGTATCTGTAGCTGTCAGTGACATACAGAGGCATCATTAAGATTCTTTACCAAAGGTATTTTATTATCACACTTTTATTAGTGAACCAAACAGTGCACATGGCTATAGCTTTTGTTAATTTCTCTGGAAAACATACTAATAATATTTCAAGATTAGTTTCCTCTCTTTGCTGTGAAATTTCTGTTCTGAGTCAATATGTCAACAGTTTACATGGGAACAAACTAGAGAAAACTAGCTAAATTAGTATCAGCAGCCACTGGGAAGTATTAAATGAAGTGGCCAAGAGGCCAAAAGATATTTACACAAGAAAAACAAAAACAGGAGGAAACTATGGGTTAAAAATGAGTATAAAAAGGGTGATTTTGAAACAAGCAGTCTAAGGAATTTTCCAGACAATTCAGTTGATCACGTAGTAATAAAACAAGATCTAATTAAGAACAGCCCCTAACACTGGGAGCCTACATGGAAATTATTGACCTTGACAGTTTTGTACAATGTCAAAGACAAGAGAATAGCAGCAAAGTTACTCGTTTCATCATGCTATTCTTAAAATAAGTGTTGGTTACTATGAAAGTCACAGTGCTGAATTCTCAGAGCTCTAAGCACCATCAGTGGAAAGTTTTTGGGAGGATAGAAGGGCAATGGAGGAGGAGAATGCAATGAAGCATAAAGATTAAGAATAATTCACTGGAACAAGATCCAATAAGCCAATTCCAAACTTCACAATGCAAATTACACTTCCCACAGAATGAAATATATATGACTAACACAAATAATACATTTCCCTCTATATACAAGATTAATTTAGATTTCTAACGGAAAAGCACTATGCAATTATGTCAGAACTTCATATTTGACTGATGCTTTGAAAAGACTTTTTTTTTTTATTTTATTTTAAACATTATAGTAATCTGGGCCATGTAATAAGAATGCACAACTGAAACTTCCCATATTGCCAAGGGAATGAAGGAACTGCTATTAAAAGTCTCTGAAATACTAATGTTGAGGCAAGATTTGCTAAGTAGGACACTGCCATTAAATCTAATGGAGCTGGGAAACTTCCCAAAGATTGTTTTAACGCTCCCAGGCACCTCTTTCATTTCTGTATATGTATTAAGGACACTTCGGACACAGAGCAACACATCTGCACGTCTGGATCTGTCCTGAAGCAACCAGACCTCCTGGGCCATAAAAGAGACTGTTTCCAAACGAAGGACATGCTGGACTGAGACCTGCGCTTCCCAGTAAAATGAAAGTCAAGGAGAGGGGTAAAAAAATTTGCAGGTGCCCTTTTAACTCCTGGTTTGCAGGGTTTAGACCTGCAGTGGTATCCATTCCCCCAGAAGACACAGGAAGCGGACAGCATCCCTACCTAAGAAACCTGAGAAATTTTTTCAATAAAACTTAGAGCTTTCCATGCCTTTCCTTCTGTGAAACTTTACCTGTTCTAGAGAACTGCCAGACTGGGGTCTGCGTGGCCAAGCTGCCAAACAGAGGCTATCAGGACTCTCTTTCTACGGAAAGCTCAAGCCAGCAAAATTTAACAGTGAAATCCCAATGCAAGCATGGATGCAATTATTGTAGGCCATACCGATGTATTAAAGAAAATTAAGAACTACCTAACCACTCTGGTAACAAGAGTGTTAGCCATAAATTCTTGCACTAAGCCTTGGACAGGCTTTGTCCAGCAAAACTTCTGTGTATTCTTTGCAGCTGACACCTTTGGCTCAGTCCGGCCAAAGAATAAACGCTTGTGTCAGGACTTTCTTGGGGGCTCACATGCCTTTGGGTATTGCAGCAGATTTCTCTCCCCTCAACTTAGAAATCCCGTGTTTCAGATCAGGTAGGCTTAGCAACTAAGAACAGAGGACAACTCTGATGCTCTTGACTTTCTCCAGAAAGAAAAAAAAAAAACCAAAAAAACCCAAACAAAACCAAAACAGGTAGAGAATAAAGAACAGAAAATAAAAAATAGCTAGCAGCTTTCCAACAAGCAGAGTAAGCAGCCTGCATGTTTCTGCAAAGCAGGCACCATTTCTTGAACCCTGATTTCACTGTGTGCATTTCTTGAACCAGAGATGCACACTTGGACACATATTTCTTCCATACAATACTCCTCTCAGAGGAGAAAGAAGAAATATGAATTCTGATCTAAGCTACACCTGGCAGTACAAATAATCAGTTTGCACAAGTCTAGCTCCAGGGACCCAGAAGTGGGAAGGAGGTGATAACCTGCATACCAGGCCTCCTTACAGACCTGCCTTCAAAACACTCAGAGCTGCCAAGGGGAGAGGGGCTGTGCATGGGCAAACACTTCAGTAAGAGCTATGAGGCCACCCCAGCGTCCCAGGCCACCCTGGCATCACAGCAGCAATTAATCAAAACCCACTCAAAGAGAAATACAAACATGCTTTCAGTTAAGAATTTTCTAGGTCTTCCAGAAAGACATGTAAATGCACTGCCCCAGTGCTCCTACTATCAGTGCTTTCCCAAAAGGCAGCTCAACAACCTTAGGAAGCAAGATCTTCACGTCTGGCTGGTGAGAAGCTAAGAAATTCACATTTATTTTCTTCTTTTGCTGCTTCAGATAACATGAACCCATCACTAATCAAATGCTAGGAAGCTCTTCCTTCCTCCTGTGTGTTCCCCTGCAACTCAGCCTCCCCAAAACCCTCAGCACACCTCTGAACAAGTGCTCGTAGAAACCCGTTAATCCCAGCCCTGCAGACGACCCCTCTCACATCAAGATTATGCCTTGTCCTGGACCTCATGCGTCACTTCCTCCCTTCCCTCTCATTTAAGGATTCTCGGTATCTCCAGTTTACTTATATATATGCATATAGAAAATACACATAGACCAGACTGCTGGAAAATTAAAGATGCATAGGTTTTCTTAAGTTTACTGTTCTTCAGTATTAGCAATCCTTTTCAAATTCATTGCTGAAGTTGCTAGCACAGGGAATGGATAGATTGCGAGGGCACCCCAAATCCCCTTGCATTTTAAACATAAGTAGAGCATTAAGTTTTCAAATAAGTCAAAGAAGTGACAGCTTGGTCTGCGTAGGTATAATTTTGTATTCTATACGTAGCTTAAACTTGACTCACAGTGAGAAACTGACTTGAATTCCCAGATTTGCATGCAACATTTTTATTTTTCAGTAATCTAGTAGTTCATATTAAATGTTCTCGTTTCAAAATTGAACACACTGTGCTTTATTTGACTATGCTGCAAAGTAATAAATCCAGAGTAATAAGTGCAACCCAAGCTAATTTTAGCAGGCAACATCTAAGTTATTTGGCATACTCAGGAATCTGGTTTCATCTCATTTCCTATCTGTTATTTTAATACTGAAACCTTCCACTTGGAAAGAAAATTATTTAGCTTGCAGTACTTACAGAATACAAAAGACTGATTTACAACATCATTTTAATATTGCACTGGCCTGAATACTCTGCTGAATCGTTTTTCTAACAGAGCGCTTATGCCAGGAAGGAAATCATTTTAACTCGATAATTCTTTGGTCAGTTCTTCAGATCCAATACTGCTCTACGATGTCTGCTGACTACTTCAGGTGACACCTAGAAGCTGTGAACAACCAAAGCACAACAACTCTCCCCACTTTAGGAGGTTCACACTACAGCAGAACCTTCATCTGCTACACTGGGACCTTGGCCTCTGGAGGGACTCTGCTCCCAGCAGCATGGGTCTAAGCTTCCTCAGTCCTGCAGTAATACAGAATAATATTTTAAAATAAATAAAACAGGTAAGGTTCTTCTCATTCGTAACAAGAAAGTGGCTAAAGGATCTGCTTAAAAAGAAGTGGTAAGTTGCTACAGCTTTTATGGGCAGAGACTGCAGGTCCCGAGACGAATGCCCCGGCACAGAGTTCTATACATAGCAATTTTAAATACTTGATGCGGGTGCTAACCCCTAAAAACTGTGTGGATTGGTTTTTTCTTAAATATCAAATTTGGTATTCAGTGATCTATTCATTTCAACCAAATGATTCTGTCAAAATTAAGCAAGCACTTCATAAGGGTACAGGATCAGGACTGCTGATGCGGGACAGAAAGCGTGCTATAAGAAAGTGGCAGACCAAAACACTTGTTTACAGGGTCTCTTACACTAAAGAACATGCAAGTTACTGTTAAACATTTAAAAGTACTTCATAATCTGGTTTGCTTTGTTTTGATTTCACCGAGTTAGCAGACACAACTGAGTCATGACACCCAGCCAAAACCAGATCCTTCAGACGAAGCACTCAGGAACCTGAGCTGAGGGTCTGAAATTGTCATCAGCAGCACGATGGTACTCAAAAGCGGTAGCCTCTCTGCTCTCCTTCACTGTCTCCTTTAAGGTGATCAAAGAGAACAGTAAGATCATAAGTTTTAAATAACTCTTAAAGAATGTACCAATCTCCATCTAAAAAGTAGAAAGAAAATCAAGTCCAACCCTTTTCCGAACTCAAGTTTAAATTAATTTCCAGTACCACTCCGGTGTATCAAGTCCCTTTTCAGCTCTGAGCCTACATCTTAACGTTCTGCCCCAAATGTACATCCTCTCATATGCATGGTCTTAACAGTCTTTACAGGTTTGCTAGATGTATGCTACAAACATTAAGCAAACTGAGCAAGAATTGTACTCTGTTCACTCCTTTCTTTCCAGTAGGGTTATTTATATTAAGTAGTTGAGGGAGATCTGGCAAGACTGCTTAAAAATACAACTTTTCCTCCCACTCTGATCACTTTAAGAACACAAGCACTTTAGAACTGTTGAGTTCTCCGCAGATTTTGCTACACAGCTCCTTGGTGCTTCTTTCTAACGGCAGAACATAGTCTCGAAAGCCAGAGGGCAACTCTAAGGCAACGCCACTGAACAAGGCACCCCGAGAACCCGCCCTGCATCCCTCTGCAAGCACTGAAGAAGGCACTAGCAAGAGCAGGCAGAGGGGTTGCTTTTCCTGTTGTCAAAAGAGAAAGAAACCGCGGTTTCTTCCCGGGAAAGGAGGCAACCTCCACCAG